TCTTATCTTGTCTGTGGCTAATGACTGATGACTTGCTAAAATGCCTTATCATATTAATGGCCCAAAACTGATAACTTACTAAGATGTCTTATCTTGTCTGTGGATAATGACTGATGATTTGCTAAAATGTCTTATCATATTAATGTCCCAAAAAAACTTATTGTCTTATCTTGTCTAAGATGTCTTATCTAGTCTGTGGCTAATGACTGATGACTTTCTAAAATGCCTTATCATGTTAGTGGCCCAAGACTGATGACTTACTAAGATGTCTTATCTTGTCTGTGGCTAATGACTGATGACTTTCTAAAATGCCTTATCATGTTAGTGGCCCAAGACTGATGACTTACTAAGATGTCTTATCTTGTCTCTGGCTAATGACTGATTACTTTCTAAAATGCCTTATCATGTTAGTGGCCCAAGACTGATGACTTACTCAGATGTCTTATCTTGTCTGTGGCTAGAGACTGATAACTTACTAAGATGTCTTATCTTGTCTGTATTAATGACTGATGACTTGCTAAAATGCCTTATCATATTAATGGCCCAAAACTGATAACTTACTAAGATGTCTTATCTTGTCTGTGGATAGAGACTGATGATTTGCTAAAATGTCTTATCATATTAATGTCCCCAAAACTGATTACTTGCTGAGATGTCTTATCTAGTCTGTGGCTAATGACTGATTACTTTCTAAAATGCCTTATCATGTTAGTGGCCCAAGACAAGACTGATAACTTTTCTAAGATGTCTTTATCTTGTCTGTGGCTAGAGACTGATAACTTACTAAGATGTCTTATCTTGTCTGTGGCTAATGACTGATGACTTGCTAAAATGCCTTTATCATATCATATTAATGGCCCAAAACTGATAACTTACTAAGATGTCTTATCTTGTCTGTGGATAGAGACTGATGATTTTATCTTGCTAAAATGTCTTATCATATTAATGTCCCAAAACTGATTAAATGTAACTTGCTAAGATGTCTTATCTAGTCTGTGGCTAATGACTGATGACTTTCTAAAATGCCTTATCATGTTAGTGGCCCAAGACTGATGGCTTACTAAGATGTCTTATCTTGTCTGTGGCTAATGACTGATTACTTTCTAAAATGCCTTATCATGTTAGTGGCCCAAGACTGATGACTTACTAAGATGTCTTATCTTGTCTGTGGCTAGAGACTGATAACTTACTAAGATGTCTTATCTTGTCTGTGGCTAATGACTGATGACTTGCTAAAATGCCTTATCATATTAATGGCCCAAAACTGATAACTTACTAAGATGTCTTATCTTGTCTGTGGATAGAGACTGATGATTTGCTAAAATGTCTTATCATATTAATGTCCCAAAAAAGATTACTTGCTAAGATGTCTTATCTAGTCTGTGGCTAATGACTGATGACTTTCTAAAATGCCTTATCATGTTAGTGGCCCAAGACTGATGACTTACTAAGATGTCTTATCTTGTCTGTGGCTAATGACTGATGACTTTCTAAAATGCCTTATCATGTTAGTGGCCCAAGACTGATGACTTACTAAGATGTCTTATCTTGTCTCTGGCTAATGACTGATTACTTTCTAAAATGCCTTATCATGTTAGTGGCCCAAGACTGATGACTTACTCAGATGTCTTATCTTGTCTGTGGCTAGAGACTGATAACTTACTAAGATGTCTTATCTTGTCTGTGGCTAATGACTGATGACTTGCTAAAATGCCTTATCATATTAATGGCCCAAAACTGATAACTTACTAAGATGTCTTATCTTGTCTGTGGATAGAGACTGATGATTTGCTAAAATGTCTTATCATATTAATGTCCCAAAACTGATTACTTGCTAAGATGTCTTATCTAGTCTGTGGCTAATGACTGATGACTTTCTAAAATGCCTTATCATGTTAGTGGCCCAAGACTGATGACTTACTAAGATGTCTTATCTTGTCTGTGGATAGAGACTGATGATTTGCTAAAATGTCTTATCATATTAATGTCCCAAAACTGATTACTTGCTAAGATGTCTTATCTTGTCTGTGGCTAATGACTGATTACTTGCTAAGAGGCCTTATCTTGTCTGTGGCTAATGACTGATGATTTGCTAAAATGTCTTATCATATTAATGGCCCAAAACTGATGACTTACTAAGATGTCTTATCTTGTCTGTGGATAGAGACTGATGATTTGCTAAAATGTCTTATCATATTAATGTCCCAAAACTGATTACTTGCTAAGATGTCTTATCTAGTCTGTGGCTAATGACTGATGACTTTCTAAAATGCCTTATGTTAGTGGCCCAAGACTGATGACTTACTAAGATGTCTTATCTTGTCTGTGGCTAGAGACTGATAATTTACTAAGATGTCTTATCTTGTCTGTGGCTAGAGACTGATAACTTACTAAGATGTCTTATCTTGTCTGTGGCTAGAGACTGATAACTTACTAAGATGTCTTATCTTGTCTGTGGCTAGAGACTGATAACTTACTAAGATGTATTATCTAGTCTGTGGCTAATGACTGATGACTTTCTAAAATGCCTTATGTTAGTGGCCCAAAACTGATGACTTACTAAGATGTCTTATCTTGTCTGTGGCTAGAGACTGATAACTTACTAAGATGTCTTATCTTGTCTGTGGCTAGAGACTGATAACTTACTAAGATGTATTATCTAGTCTGTGGCTAATGACTGATGACTTTCTAAAATGCCTTATCATGTTAGTGGCCCAAAACTGATGACTTACTAAGATGTCTTATCTTGTCTGTGGCTAGAGACTGATAACTTACTAAGATGTCTTATCTTGTCTGTGGCTAGAGACTGATTACTTGCTAAGATGTCTTATCTTGTCTGTGGCTAGAGACTGATAACTTACTAAGATGTCTTATCTTGTCTGTGGCTAGAGACTGATAACTTACTAAGATGTATTATCTAGTCTGTGGCTAATGACTGATGACTTTCTAAAATGCCTTATCATGTTAGTGGCCCAAAACTGATGACTTACTAAGATGTCTTATCTTGTCTGTGGCTAGAGACTGATAACTTACTAAGATGTCTTATCTTGTCTGTGGCTAGAGACTCATTACTTGCTAAGATGTCTTATCTTGTCTGTGGCTAATGACTGATTACTTTCTAAAATGCCTTATCATGTTAGTGGCCCAAAACTGATGACTTACTAAGAGGCCTCATCTTGTCTGTGGCTAAAGACTGATGACTTGATAAGATATGTCATTCATTGGAGCCTGCAGGTTAGCTAATCTTTTTTCATTCACTGCCTTTGTATTTTTATCATCTTTAATGTTTATAATTTTCTATTTTCCTTAATAACCAATATTCCTTCTCTGATATTTACCAATTCATCCACTGCTGTATCCCTCAGATCTTTTACATTAGCTGTCAATTTTATTCATCGGATAGTTCGATATTTTGCTTTATTTGAGTACAATAATCCACCTATTTGTGAACTTATATGTCTGTTACCCATCCCTCTCTTTGGTTACCTAGTTACTTCTCTTTCTCTCTATTCTTTTTCAACTGAGTTCTCTTTCCAAGTCAATTTGATTATATTCGAATTCTCACGTCTATATCTGATCCAGCGTATTTGTTAGCCAAACCTGTCAGCCATTTCTGTCTTCCAATCAGTTCCAATTCTGTTTTGACAGAATATTTGTTTTGTTCTCTGTCCACCAAAGAAAAGAAAAAACAAAATTGTAGAAAAGGAAGTTAGTTTCATATTTCACAAGCTTTTTACCAACCAAATACAACGTCATGGCATAATGTGTTTCTATGACAGCCCCTTCTACATGAACAACAGTTACTTTCCACAGTCATTGTCATAGATGATAATTCCTGTTCTCTCTTCTCTTTCTCCTTTTGGTCCTTTTCTTTTTTCATATTTCTTCACCTTTTACGTCTTTTGCTTTCTTGCCTCCTCTCTTTTTTTGCTTTTTCTTCCTCCTCATATTTTGCTTTTTAGTTTAGCCTTTCTGTTTCTCTTCCTCCTCCCTTCCAGTCATTCTGTTTCCCAACTTTCTTTTCCTTGTATGCTAGCCCTCTTCTTTTTCCTCTTCTTATGTTTGTCCGCTACTCTTACCTCACCCTTTTGACCATCTTTCTTTCTCTTCTTCCATGCTTCTTTTTCTCCTTTTCTTTTCTCCTCATAATTTTGTCTCTCTTTTTTGCTTCTTCACCTTTTTTTTCCCTAACCCCTTTCTGACCCTCCCTTTTGATCATTCCATCTTTCAACCTCCTAATCTTTCTAGGTTTTTCTTCTTTTTACTATTTCCTAGTTTTTTTCCTCTTCTTTATTTTTTTTTCCTCTTCTTTATTTTTTTTTCCTCTTCTTTATTTTATATTTTTTTTATCTTTTTATTTTTTTTATTCTTCTTTTTCTTATAATTCATCATAATTTGGTGATCCTCTTTTCTTCCTCTTCCTTTCTCCTCCTCAATTTTGTCTTTTTCTTTCTCATCCTCCTAATTTTAGTTTTCCTTTTCTAATTTTTCTCCCTCTTCATTATTATTCTCTCTTATACATTCCCTTTTAATTTCTCCTCTTCCTATTCCTCCTAATTTTATCATTTTTTTTTCCTCTTCCATCTTTCAACTTTTTTGTCTCCCATATTTCTTTCTTTTTCTTACCATTTTCTTTTTTCTTCTCCTCTCTCTTCTTGATTTCTCCTTACACTCCTCCTCTTCTTTTTTATATCATAATTCTCCTGTTCCTTCAATTTTATATTTTTTCTTCCACTTACTTCTTCTTGTATAACTCCTTCTTGTCTTTGTTTCCTTCATTTTTCTTCCAATTTTTTCATTCTCTTTCTCTTCTCTGTCTACTTTTCCCACTCTTTTCTTTATTATCTTTCTATTCCATTCCTTATTTTCACTTCTTCAGTTTTTCATTCTTGTGTTTTTTATTTATCGAGGATATTTTACATTGTTTCCTTTTTATTCAAACTTTTCTTTTGTTTTCTATATGCTAAAAACTCCTTCTTATTCATGTTCTGTACTTATTTATGTTTGATTTACTTTCTTTTTTGCTTATTTCATTCTTTTTACTTTTTTATTATGATTCATTTTTCTTTCCTTCATTCCTTTTTTTTCACTTTCTTTTTTTATTCCTTTTTCTTTCCTTCATTCCTTTTTTTTCACTTTCTTTTTTTATTCCTTTTTCTTTCCTTCATTCATTTTCACTTCTTTCTTTTTTCTTTCTTTCTTTGTTTTTGGACTGTCTGATTTTTTAATAAATATTTTTCTCAATCTTGCTCCAATTTCTTTCTCACCTCTTTCATTTGTTTTCTTTCTTTTCTGTTTTATATTTCATTTCTTTTTCTTTCTCTCTTTTTCTTCCTTTCTTTCTTTCTTTTGTTCTTTCATTCTTTCCTTTTTACAGTGTATTTTTTAATAATATTTTTTGCAATCTTTCTTCAATTTCTTTTTCATCTCTTTTCTTTCTTTCTTTCTTTTTGTTTTTCTTTCATTCCTTTTCTTTCTTTCTTTTTTGCTCTTTATTTTTTTAATAAATATTTTCTTCTCAATCTTGCTCCAGTTTCTTTCTCACCTCTTTCATCTGTTTTCTTTCTTTTCTGTTTCATATTTCATTTCTTTTTCTTTCTTTCTTTCTTTTTCTTTCTTTCTTTCTTTCTTTCTTTCTTTCTTTCTTTCTTTTTTTTTACAGTCTATTTTTTAATAATATTTTTCTCAATCTTTCTTCAATTTCTTTTTCACCTCTTTCATCTCTTTTTTTCTTTCTTTTTGTTTTTCTTTCATTCTTTTTCTTTCTTTCTTTTTCGCTGTTTATTTTTTAATAAATATTTTTTCCTCAATCTTGCTCCAGTTTCTTTCTCAGCACTTTCATCTGTTTTCGTACTTTTCTGTTTTATATTTCATTTCTTTTTCTTTCTTTCTTTTGTGCTTTCATTCTTTCTTTCTTTTTTTTACTGTGTATTTTTAATAATATTTTTCTAAATCTTTCTCCAATTTCTTTTTCATCTCTTTCATATGTTTTCTTTCTTTCTTTTTGTTTTTTCTTTCATTCTTTCTCTTTCTTTCTTTTTTGCTGTTTATTTTTTAAATAAATATTTTTTTCTCAATCTTTCTCACTTCTTTCATCTGTTTCCTTTCTTTCATATTTTTTTTTACCAGAAAACTATTTTCCTTCTTATTCTCTTTCTTTTCTTTCCTTCATCTACTGCCTGTCAAACTTGCTTTTCTTTTACTTCCACCTTTTGTCACATTCCTTCATCTTAGAGAATTTCTTCTTCCTTTTCTTTTACACCCTCGTCGATGTCTCTATCTCACTTCCTTCTTCCAAATCCTATTTTTACCTGCATTTCTGATACCAAACAACATCTATTGAAAATTTCTTTTAATTAAACATGAAATAAAAATTAATTAAAGAAACTGACGTAAAGACTTTGACGAGCATTGTTTGACTTTATCAAGATCTTGCTTTACTTTGGGCCCTGATTTTTGTAATTGTGAGTTCACTCCCTGTACTGGGTAGGTTGATGAATTCATTTTCTATGGCTTATCAACCGTTTTCAGGTTATTTAAAGCCAGAAACTATTTTTAGATTGTAAGAATTTTTGGTGGGTGGGGATGATAATAATGATTTAGTGATACAAGTTTTACTAATTAAGCCATAGCTGGAAATGGAGAGAAAAGGTGGTTTTCTATCTTCGCCAAGGGTATTTGCATTTAATTGAATATAGCAAATACGACAGGAATTGAAACTCAGCTCTCTGATTAAAAATTCTGTATCATTAACCATTACACCACCCATACATCCAAGCTTACAGTACCTGGTATTCCCAAGCAGTCACCCATCTAGGTACTGACCAGGCTTGATGTTGCTTAACTTTCAAAGTTATAATGTTGAGCAGTACTAAATAAAAAGACCAAACATCTCTAGACATTGTTAACAGAACAATATATTTGTGAAGATTAAAGAAAGGATTCAGTTTGAAATTTGCTCCGTGATTTTTGTAATTGTGAGTTCACTCCCTGTACTGGGTAGGTTGATGAATTCATTTTCTATGGCTTATCAACCGTTTTCAGGTTATTTAAAGCCAGAAACTATTTTTAGATTGTAAGAATTTGGGGCGGGGAGGGATGATAATAATGTTTTAGTGATACAAGTTTTACTAATTAAGTCATAACTGGGAATAGGAATTACACCACCCATATATCCAAGCTTACAGCACCTTGTATTCCCAAGTAGTCACCCATCTAGGTACTGACCAGACTCAATGTTGCTTAACTTTCAAAGTTATAATGTTAAGCAGTACTAAATTAAAAGGTCAAATATCTCTAGACATTGTTAACAGAACAATATATTTGTGAAGATTAAAGAAAGGATTCAGTTTAAAATTTGCTGAAGGTTACATGGATAGGAATGTAACTGATGAAGTGCAAAGGGAACAACATCTGAAATGTTTTGAAAATAACAACAAGGATGAGGACAATGATCTGAATGTAAATAATGTAAGGAGCCAACTTAAGGCTGAAATAGACTCAATATTCAGTGAGTATTTTTATTGTTCTTGTTGATTTTTCAACCTTGTTTTTTAATAATTTCACCTCAAGTCAGGGGATAAAGCCACTAGATGTAAGGAGTTACTGAGAGTAAAAAAAAGTCTAAAAAAATGTTATTAAATAACGCAGACAATAAAAGAACAGGCATTTCAATGAGACAGTAGATAATGATTGACATTTCATTTAAATATTTGAAAATCAATTTTGACTGGAAATCAATAAGCTGAAAGAGTGTACTACATGCAAGAAATGTGTAGGAAGAAACTGTTATCACAGTACTTATTTCAATTTCAACTGTAAAATGATGAGTTCTGGTTGCCAATCTAGTAATGCTCTTGAACTCATAAAGATGAGTGATATAGACAAGCGTGTGGTTGCAAGAAATAAATACAACAACAGCAGAAATAGATTTACGTGATTTATTTCAACAGGAACGTGTGGGTTTGGGACAGCTACCTTGTAAAGTTCATAGTTTGTTGGCGCATCATTAAGCTGTAATCGCCGTTTGTTTGAGCGGTGGGAGGTGTTAAAGTTGTTAATTTTAGGGAACTCAGCATGTCGTTTATGTCGGCTTGAATTTCTTGTATTGTGTTTTCAGAAGGCTGCGTTGGTCCCGTTTTCAAGTTGAATAGTAGTGTTTTCTGTTCCTTGATGAGAGTAAATAGTTCGGCTCATAATGCTTTCTTTGTAGTCGTCCATATTTCTCTTGCTGTACGCTTCTGACACCAGTGTTATAGACAAGCGTATGGTTGCAAGAAGGAAATATGACAACAGCAGAAATAGATTTACATGATTTATTTCAACAGGAATGTGTGGGTTTGGGACAGCTACCTTGCGGTAAAGTTCATAAGCCGGCTTCGAATCTGGGTTGATCTCTCATAGTAGTTCACACTGGTTGACGCTGGTGCTCCCCCTGCTGACTGCTGCTGACAGCTCAGCCTGACTGTGACAGGTCTCTTCCCTGGCCTCCTGTTGACTGCTTGTTGTACTTCCATGTGACCCCTTTTATGGTGTTTTTTATGGCTTAACAGGCTTGAAAAACGATGAGAGTATAACTAGGAGAGAGCATTTTTATTGGTCAAAGAATAGAAACACTTTAAAATATTATTTTATTTTTCGACCGGACCTCGTACGTCAGGAACATACGTAAACGAAGATAATGGTCATTTTGTGATGGGGCCTTGTCGCTCTTGAGTATGTTAGTTTATTTGCCTGTAAATCAGCCGAGATATGTCTTATTTTATTTTATAACATGAGGTACCAAAAAGAAAAACTCATCAGAACAATTACAGCAAAAATATTTATAGAAAAGACACAGTTATCTTACAGTGGTGGGAAAGTGACTGACTGCAGCTGAGATGTTAGGTCAAGACCAATAACATTGTAGATTCTGCTTTATATTTTATCAATAATCTCTAAATACACAGCAGAATCACCAGACGAGATGAAAATACTGCTCTTAGATTGATAAAGTTGTGGTATAAAAGCTCATCAGAACAATTACCATGAAATTATTTATAGAAAAGGCACCGGGAAGTTGTGTTACAGCAGTGGAAAAGTGACTGAAGCTGAGATGATAGGTCAGGACCAAAAACATTGCAGATTCTTTTTTATTTATTAGACAATAAATCTTAAAAATATTATAATATAAGTTTGAATATTATAACAGCTAATGCTAAAAGCAAGAAACATTTGTAAATATAAGAATCCTTGTATCCTTTAAATGTTTTCCCTGCTGACATGAGGATTAATCATTATTTACCCCATATATCACTATCAACTGTGCATTTTACTCTTTAACACTCAACCTCGAGTGGCTTTTGGGCCTTGCAGAGGTGGAACATAATCACCAAAAACAAAGGAATTAAAAATATAATAATGGGCATTGCATTAAATTTTTGAAGATCAAAATTGATTGGAAAGCAAGAAGTCGAAAAAGAGTTCCACAAGTGAGACATGTTGGAGATAAAACTGTTAGTATAGAACTTATGGTTACATCTAGCGATTTCAGTTATAAAATGATGAGATTTTACTGCCATTCTAGTATTGCACTTAAATTTGTAAAGTCGAGGTACCAAACAGGAAAGCTCATCAGAAAAATTACCATGAAAATATTTAGAGTAAAGTACAGGGAAGCTATTTTATGCCAATGGGAAATTGACTGAAGCTGAGATGCCAGGTCAAGACTGATAACATTGCCAATTCATCTTTGGGTATTTTCAAGAATCTCTAGATACATTGCGGATGTAGCAGACTGGATGTGGCAGCAATATTTATAGAAATAATACAGGGAAGCTACATTATGGTGGTGGGAAAGTGACTGAGGCTGAGATGTTAGGTCAGGACCAATAACATTGCAGATTCTTCTTTTGTATTTTATCAATACAAGATGAGAGTACTGCTTTTAAATTCATAAAGTTTTGGTATAAAAGCCTATCAGATCAATTACCATGAAAATCTTTATAGAAATGATACAGGGAAGCTATGTTACAGTGGTGGGAAAGTGACTGAAGATGAGATGCCTGGTCAGGACCTATAACATTACAGATTCTTCTTTATATTTTATCAATAATCTCTAACTACATAGCAGATGTACCAGACAAGATGAAAGTACTGCTCTTAAATTCATAAAGTTGAGGTACCAAAGCTTATCAGAACAATTATCATGAAATTATTTATAGAAAAGGCACTGGGAAGTTGTGTTATGGTGGTGGGAAAGTGACTGAAGCTGAGTTGTTAGGTTAGGACCAATAACATTACAGATTCTTCTTTTAATAATAATCTTTAAATACATAGCAGATGCTACAGACGAGATGAAAGTACTGCTCTTAAATTTGTAACGTTGAGTTACCAAAGCTCATCAGAACAATTATTATGAAAATATTTATAGAAAAGGCACATCGTGGGAAAGTGGCAGAAGCTGATATAGAAGGTCAGGACACATTTCATTGCCAATTTATCTTTGGATATTTTCAAGAATCTCTAGATACATTGCAGAAGCAGCAGACTGGATGTGGCAGCAATATTCAATGCATGGGTGAATGCATGGCTGACTTATAAATTTGTAAGATAGATTCTAGTAAATCAACTTATTTGAAATGAATACAATTGTGTCTTTTATATTTCATTTTTCATAAAGATCCTATTTGTACATTGTAAAAATTGGAAAATTTATTTGCTATCTAAATTTTTTGGTTATGGGGTTATCATTATTATTTATACTATTTATATTCAAACTACTGTCCTCGTTTTGGAACCGATAAGAATATAAAGGTGAAACAAGCAAGGTTGCAGGAACATCGAAAAGCTGTATTGAGGAGTGGCTGTTCATGTATGGAGGGAAAGGGGTAGACGTCAATGATGAGGAAAATAGCATAAATTATTTATTGGTTAGATAATTTCATATAAAATATTTATAAGGATGTGTTTGT